GACAACGATGCCGAGTTAATCTAAGTTAATCTTGCATACTTACACCACACCTGCATAACTGCATACGATTAATTGCCTTATTCCGATCGATAACCCACCCTCGTCACCGAGGCGGGGTCTGGTTATCATAACGACTTGCATTATCATAATTACACCCACTCGCATAATTAATACGATTACCTCTCGAATTGGCATAATTAAAATGTGCGTAATTACATAAATTAACATATTTCCGGATAATTACACATTTGGCCAAATTTCATTTAATTATTATTTTCACTGAATATTCATAACCCACATATACAACATAATAATTTCACCCACGCACGCATACACCATAACAAATTTCGATACCCAACATATACAACATCGGCCTGGTTACATAAAATAGAAACTTAAGTTGTCCTCGTGTTGTATTTCCTGCAGTCACGATAGCTCCAAATCTCTCATTGCCATGCTCATTTCTCTACACCCCCCCCCCCCCCCCGTATCTCTCTGCCCCCCTCTCTATTTAAGCCCTTAACACAGAGGTGTTGTTTCTGTGTGTGCCTATGTGTGTGCCTACGTGTCTGTGTTATCTCTCCCTGTGTGCCTATGTGTCTCTCTCTGTGTGCCTGTGTCATCTCTCTGTGTCTCTGTGTGTTTATGTGTGTCTGTCTCTCTGTGTGCCTATGTGTGCCTATGTGTGTGTCTATCTCCATGTCTATATGTGTCTCTTTCTCTGTGTCTCTCTGTGTGCCTATGTGTCTCTCTGTCTGTGTTATCTCTCTCTGCTTGTGTGTATGTGTCTCCATGTCTGTGTTTAGTTCTCTCTCTAAAATTTAGCAATCTTTGGAAGAACGTTAATAAACCAGGTGGGGTGTTGACTGTTATGTGAGCCGACTCGCTGTGTTGTGTTGTATTGCATTGTAGTTCTAAGTTTATTTTATTTTATACCTATGTAACTTTACCGAAAGAACCAAAGACTATTGTTCTAAGTTTACAATCTTTGCTTTCTCATTCATTTGTACCTGATGGTGATTGCTCGTGTTGCAAAGGAAACATCGTATGCTATTATTTAATTAATGTGTTCTTTCTACGTGACTTTACCGAAAGAACCAAAGAGTATGGATCCCTGCACTCACGAAAGCTCCAGATCAAGTTTAACCGAGATAATTATTTGTTCTTTTCGGTAAGGTCACGTAGGTAAAAAAATTAATGAAACGAATAAATTATGAAATATTTTTTAGTATTAAAAAGTTTTAATGAAAAAAATTGTATTAAAAATTAAATATGAAAAAAAAGAAACTAAATACATTTTGTTTTTTCATTTATGAAAAAAAGTTTGGATAAAAAAAATATGATATAACTAAAATAAATGAAAAAAAACCACCACATTAAATTGGTTGTTTCTTCATTTATTGTATTTCTGCTGCCGTCACGAAAGCTTCCAGATCAAGTTGAAGCGAGAGAATTCAAACAAAGGCCTTCAGGCGAGGGCAGGAGGCGAGGCCCCGCGTGGCTAGGCCCCGCGTTGTAATGTCCCAACATGGACATGGATTCCCATACTCGCTGCGACTCAATTGACATCCCTACGAGAAAGAGAGGCTCTACCTTGGTAAACAACAACAACCACCACCACCACAACCACCACGATGAAAATCTCTCACCTCGGATTTCATCGGCAGCTTCTCGTTACCTCGCTACGTTATGGCGGCAGCAGGATGTGACGTAATATTCACTTCCGGGGTACAAGACACGCCCCCAACGAGCGGTGCTGGGTAACTGAATAACTTATTCGAGAATTGAAGCTTTCGTCAACTGCAGGAATGACTCAACTCGTTGTACACTCATTGGCTCTTTCGGTAAAGTCACACGTCGAGGGATGATGGGGCGTGGGTGCTGAACCCGTCGCAATAAAAAAACAAACTCGCGACGGCTTTTAACGAATATATTATGTTAATTGTATTTCATTTCTTTACCGAAATAACCAATGAGCAATTCCTGCAGTCACCAAAGCTTAGATCCTAGATTATGTTAATGAGCCGCCAGTCACTGGGCGTAGCTTTGCCCAAATAAGGATTGTACGGGAACAGACATCGACGGTGACCAAGCAGGGGTGACATGACGTCACTAGCGAGGCGCACCGCCCCCCCCGTGGCGTTTCACGCCGATGAGGTAATGCTTAGTGGTGACGTCAGAGAGCGAGGTCAGAGTTCAAGTTTTGCGTCCAGAGGCCGTCCATAAATGACGTCACGCGATTTTGGACGATTTTTGATCCCCCTCCCCCCCTCGTCACACGGCGTCACAAAAAGTCAGACCCCCTTCAAATATGACGTCACAAAGCTCTACCCCCCCCCCCTTAAAAAAAATACACGCTTCAAATCGCTTTAAACTATTGTCATTGTAGTGCGTATTTAATGTGGCGCTGCACTCTGATGTTGTAGAAAACATTTATTAAAAAGGACACCAGGGGGGTGGGGGTTGAGAAATGTGACGTCACATCAAAATGCGCAACTTTAAATACATATAGACAACACGTTCTACTTAATTAAATAGACTTTTTAATAAATGTTTTCTCCTACAACATCAGAATGCAGCGCCACATTAAATACGCACGACAATGACAATAGTTTAAAGCAATTTGAAGCGTGTTATATTTTCAATATTTTCAACCTGTCCATCAAAGAAGCATCAGTTCCTCTAGAATGGAAACATTCCTATGTTCGTCCACTTCACAAAGGGGGCCCTAAAGATGATCCAAATAACTACCGACCTATCTCAATTTTGTCCCCGTTGATGAAAATTTTTGAAAAATTATTGACCTACCAAATTAGCAGTTTCCTGTCCGCCAACAATCTATTACATCTAAAACAATCTGGGTTCCGAAAAAAATACAGCACCACATCTGCTGCATTAGACTCTCTGAATCACATTTACAGTAGCCTTGATAATAAGCAGTACTGCGCCTGTCTTTTTCTTGACTTGTCCAAAGCTTTTGATACAGTAGACCACAACATCCTGCTTAGTAAAATAAGTTGCCTCGGTTTTTCCGAAAACACAGTAAAATGGTTAAAAAATTACCTCTTTTCTCGCACCCAAACTGTATTCACAGATGGTTGGAGGTCAAACAGTGTTAAGATAACAAAAGGGGTTCCACAGGGTTCCATTCTCGGCCCCCTCTTGTTCTCTCTTTATGTAAATGACTTGGGCACTGAACTGGATTATTCCAGGGTAAATCTTTTTGCAGATGACACGGTACTAATTACTGCTGGCCGCTCTCCGGATGACGTGATTGCTAAGCTCCAGAGTGATTTCAACAAACTACAACATCAGCTAGTTGCTCTTAAACTAGTCCTAAATCCTGCCAAAACCAAGGTGCTATGCTTCTCACCAGGACTAAAGCGGGAAGTTATTTTTCCCCAATTACATACCTTAAATAATGATCAAATAGAGCAAGTCAAGATCTATAAGTATCTTGGGGTCATCCTGGATTCAAAACTGAATTTTGAAGATCACATTGATTATATTGGGAAAAAGACAAAAATTAAAATTGGTTTTCTATATCGACACAAGCACTGCTTCCCTCCTATGTTCCGTTTGGAATTGATTAAAGCTACCGTACTGCCTCTACTTGATTACTGTGACATTGTGTATAAATCAGCCCCAAGTACTGTACTGAAGAAGCTTGACTCAATGTATCACTCGGCCTTAAGATTTGCATTGAACTGCCCATATAGGACTCACCACTGTGATCTCTACATTGGGTCAAACTTAACATCTCTGAATGTTCGACGGCGTGTGCACCAGATCTTATTTATTCATGATGTACTTGCAAAAAAATCTGCAGATTACCTGCTGGATCTCGTCTCTGTTTCAAAGAACAAATTTGATCTAAGGTCTACACTCATTTACCAGCTTAATATTCCCTATTGCCGTACATATACTGGAGGAAGGGCCTTTGCTATTGATGCCCCCAGGGTCTGGAATGCTGTTGCAAATAAATTGAAACTTGAGTCACTACCTATGAGATCTTCACTCAAAACTGCTTTAGAGGAGTTGTACACCCCTAGCTGCCAGTGCTATTCAGTGACCTAAAATAAAATGTTTCGCTCCGGATGATCGCTACAAAGTATGACCTGTGTTTTGATTTAGTGTGCTGATCTTAAAGGTGCATTGAAAAATTACAATACTCCGATTGATGCTCCTGCTGTTGTGGAGTGACTCATGCAGCCAGCTATGGCTGCAGGGTTTTGGTAGTACATGTTGTTTATGCCATTTATTGTGAAAATTCCGTCAGTTCCTATGATTGCTTTTTCATTGCCTTCATGGCTTTATTTTGGTGATTTCGAAAAGTGTATTGGTTTAGCCATGTTTGTGTTGTTGTAGTACAGAGTTAGACTGATGGCCTTAATCTAAGTTGTCTTGTGGTTGTTGTTGTTGTTTGACTTGCATCCCACTGGCATTTTTGCACACAGCGTTGGTGTACGGTGTTTTTTCTGCAATATTTTTGCTGTCTTTTCTTGGATTTTCTGTTTGCACTTAGTCACATATTCACTTTAAGATGTTTTTTTGTTCATGTTTTTGTTTTTTGTTTGTTGCGGTTGCACCCGATTCAAGAGCTGAATGGCTCACAGGGCTATACCTAATAAATGAACTTGAAATGAACTTGAACTTGATTTGGGGGACAGAGCTGTGTGACGTCATATTTGAGGGGGTTTGACTTTTTGTGACGCCGTGTGACGCGGGTGGGGGGGTCAAAAATCGTCCAAAATCGCGTGACCTCGTTTATGGACGGCCCCCATAACCAGTGGAGATGATTTTTTTAACCGGTCCTGAGCCGCCCCTACATCGACTCAGCCTCAAATGCGTACCCGGTGCGGTGTGCGAACATCGCCACCCGCTAACAGCACTTGCCCCAATAGTCTGTGAAGACTATACCGGGGGGGATCTTTGTCTTTGTATGTACAAACACACGTGTCCGATTACACAGATTAAAGGTCTCGACACACGTTGCCGTGAAAGTTCACAAATTCACGTGTCTGGTTTATTGTGTTTGGTTACAATTATTCAAAACTCGTAAATTACAGGGCGTTTCAGAAGGGTGGATCGCATCTGCTTTGAAATTGGGTGTTATGTCATTTCTGTACGATTCCAATCATTTTCGATTTAAAGTTTTCGTGACTGCAGGGATTCATCTTCTTGGTTCTTTCGGTAAAGTCACGTAAAAGGGAAATAATAAAACAATAAATAAAACATACTAAAATAAAATTCTCACGTGTCGGCCAAAACGCAAGCAGGTCTGTCACCTGAGGACGGCTGCTTGCGTTGTGGCCGAAACGTCGTGAGAATTATTTTAAAAAGTTTTATTTTTATTATTTCCCTTCTACGTGACTTTACCGAAAGAACCAAGAAGATGATTCCAATCATTTTTACACGCTTCTATTTAACTCACTTCGTCTGTTGTATCCTCAAAAACGAAATCTTCTAACTCAAATTTTACACACTTCCCAATGTGCTATCGACTGCAAACTTGGTATAGCGATGTCATATTGATGACAACACGATATTATATCATACAAAATCCATAACATAGATTTTTTTTTACATTTAACACGCTTTTATTTAAATTTACTGTATGTGTTGTATCCAAAAATCTTGTAACTCAATTTCAACCGTATTCCCAATGTATCGAATGCAAAATTCGTATAGGTGTGTCATACTGATGACAATACCATATTTTATCATTAAAAATAAATACATATTTTTTTACAATCTTTTTTACGGCTCTAATTGTCCACGCTCAACTGACGTTGCCTGTAAATCACCGCGGTCCCTTACGTCACGGCAAGCCTTGGGGAGCCACGCCCAGGGCCGGGGCATGTGGAAGAGGAGCGATGAGAGAAGGGGGCAGGGGCAGCTCGGACAGTACATTTCATTAAAGCGTGTTTTTAAAAAAAGTATTTTAAAATATTTTATTTTAACTGTCTGTTGTCGTTTTTGTCGTATTCTCAAATCTTGTAACTCAATTTTAACCAACTTCCCAATGTGGTATCGACTGCAAACTTGGTATACTTATGTCATACTGATGACAATACTATATTCTATCATTAAAAAAAATATATTTTTAAACATTCTTTTTTATATGTTATGTTTCGGTCTAATTGTCCCCACAGTCAACTGACGTTGGCTATAATTGGCCACTGTCCCTTACGTTATGGCAAGCTTCGGGGCCATTTCCTGGAGTCGTGGAGTTCTGCCATTACTAGTACATTTCATAAAAGCACGTATGAAAAAACAAGTGTTTTATTTATTTATTTATAGTCAAAATCGCCAAATTTGCAGAGCTTCGCTGCAAGTACAGGGAGAGACGAGAGGTGAGGCAGCGACGCGCTCAGCCTCCCCTCAGACACTGGATGGACCGCGGGCAGTAAGGGCTTGCCTGTTACTATCTCAGCATGTCACCAATGGAATGTTTGTAGACCCCTTCATTGCATGTCCTCGCCTTCCATAGTCCAGGTAACTGAGTTCAAGTACAGTAGAACCTCTGGTCACGACCATAATTTCGTTCCATAACTTTGGTCGCAACCCGATTTGGTCGTGACTCAAACCTAATTTCCCCATTGGATTGTATGTTAATACGATTAATCCATTCCAGACTCCTACGAACTGTATATAAAGTTTTTAAAATATTTTTAAAGACAAAAATAGTTAATTATGCCATAGAATTCATTGTAATAGTAAACTAAATGTAAAAACATTGCATAACACTGAGAAAACCTTGAAAAACAGAGAAAACTGACAAGGTTTAGAATTGTTCAACAAGATTACTGTTTCGTCTGCTACATCAGTCGGTCGATTCTGAGAGAGCATATTCGTATGAGGAATTTATGTTTCTATTGAAAGTTAACAGTAATATTTGGGTACAGTATTGTTTTTGGAAGCATTCACCGTAATATTGTATGAACGTTTACTTCACCGCATCATCGTATTAATGATGCGAGAAGAGATTAACGGGTTATGTTAGCGATTGACGTACTCAGCGCTTTCGCTCTCTAAACTATGGCTTGAATGAGGAAGGAGGGGTATGACTACACTTACAAAATGTATACATATCTTACTAGGAATTTTATATTACAAAAGATATATACATAACTGTTACGCTTTGTGTAATTCAACAACAAAAATGGCGCGGAAGGGGAAATCGGCCGCGGCCCTGTTTGATCTCCACCCGAGTATGTGTTCGTGACCAGATTAAATAAACTGTTGTAAATGTTTTGGTCGATACCCAATTTGGTCGTGGTCAGAAGCATTCGCGAACAGAGGTTCTACTGTATGTGCATAAAGATACGTAGGCTCGCTGGTCTCGTCATGAAACTGCAATGAAAAAGCACCAGGGGAGGCAGCTATCACATCTGCCTCACTGAGGGGGGTGGGCGTGTCAGACACACCGGTGAGGCCACGCCCCCAGTGCCTCCCCAGCCACTGACCTCACGCCATGTCACTGGCTCCCATCCATCGCGTTCAGTGTTAATTACCGAGGCTCACAGAGCAAGACTAAGGCTCCCATAGGCTTCAGTGTGAATCGCTGAGGCTCACAAGAGCCAGATGAATGCTCCCATAGGGTTCAGTGTGAAACACCGAAGCTCCTGGTGAGATATCTACCCAACCAACAGATCCCCCAAGATTGGCCGCTCTTACCCTGCAGGTTGAACCTAAGATTTCAATGTTCTACTTCACGTTATTTTCATTAAAGGCCTGTGACAAAGGTGCATCTATTGGAAGCGACATCGTCTCAAGCTTACACATCTACCGGGTCTCCATTTGACTTTATATTGTCTAGGAAGTCCACCCACACCTCCACTTCCACAAACTGCTGTGAGTTGCCCCGCTCTGCCTTACAGTCAGAATTCCCCTCTTGCTTCACGTTGCCTCCACCGATGTGAAGGTCCCATTCTGGAGTCGAATTTTCATCTTCACATTTTACCTTCACTTCTTCGCTCTTCAACGTCACCTCTTCACATTTCACAATCACCTCTTCAAATTCCGCCTTGACACCTTTTAAAGTGCCCAAACTGGGATTTTCTTCCGGTACTTGTTTCATGAGGGATGGGCTCCTTACGGCACTTTGACTTTCACAAGCTGATTTCAGACTCCACTCCTTGTGGATCTTCTGATGCTTCTGTGTTCTCTGGTGTTCTTGAAGATGTTGTGAACGTGCAAACGCCTTCCCGCACAAAGTGCACCTGAAGGGTTTCTCTCCTGTGTGTGTTCTCTGGTGTCTTGCAAGAACAGATGAGTATGAAAATGCCTTCCCACACACACTGCACTTGAAGGGTCTCTCTCCTGTGTGTGTTCTCTGGTGTTTTGCAAGATCACTTGACTCTGAAAATGCCTTCCCACACACACTGCACTTGAAGGGTTTCTCTCCTGTGTGTGTTCCCTGGTGTTTTGCAAGATCACTTGACTCTGAAAATGCCTTCCCACACACACTGCACTTGAAGGGTTTCTCTCCTGTGTGTGTTCTCTGGTGTCGTGCAAGATGTTGTAACTGTGAAAATGCCTTCCCACACACACTGCACTTGAAGGGTTTCTCTCCGGTGTGTGTTCTCTGGTGTTGTGCAATTTGTTGCAACTGTAAAAATGCCTTCCCACACACACTGCACTTGAAGGGTTTCTCTCCTGTGTGTGTTCTCCTGTGTGTTGCAAGATTTGAGGACTGTGAAAATGCCTTCCCACACACTCTGCACTTGAAGGGTTTCTCTCCTGTGTGTGTTCTCTGGTGTATTGCAAGATCAGATGACTGTGAAAATGCCTTGCCACACACACTGCACTTGAAGGGTTTCTCTCCTGTGTGTGTTCTCTGGTGTATTTGACAATTTGATGGACCTGCAAACGCCTTCCCACACACACTGCACTTGAAGGGTTTCACTCCTGTGTGTGTTCTCTGGTGTGCTGCAAGATGTGGTGACTGTAAAAATGCCTTCTCACACACACTGCACTTGAAGGGTTTCTCTCCTGTGTGAGTTCTCTGGTGTTTTGCAAGATCATATGACTGTGAAAATGCCTTCCCACACAGAGTGCACTTGAAGGGTTTCTCTCCTGTGTGTGTTCTCTGGTGTATTGTAAGATGTTGTGACCGTAAAAATGCCTTCCCACACACACTGCACTTGAAGGGTTTCTCTCCTGTGTGTGTTCTCTGGTGTCGTGCAAGATATTGTGACTGTGAAAATGCCTTCCCACACACACTGCACTTGAAGGATTTCTCTTCTGTGTGTGTTCTCTTGTGTTTTGCAAGATTAGATGACTGTGAAAATGCCTTCCCACACACAATGCACTTGAAGGGTTTCTCTCCCGTGTGTTTTCTCTGGTGTCTTTGAAGAGTTGATGAATCTGCAAACGCCATATCACACCGAGTGCACTTGAAGGGTTTTTCTCCCGTGTGTTTTTTCTGATGCTGTGTCAAAATTTCAGTCCGATCCGTGCTGTATGCACGCTGGTCGGATTGTTGCCTTGCCGTACCGAGCCGCGCTGACTGCCTGTGCTCCATCAGACCAATTCTGCAGAGGAAGCGTCAGAGGAAGCGACAGCTGCAGACAGAAAATAGCATCTACACGTCAGTATCAAGGCACAGAGGAATGAATATACGCATATATAAGTACACAATCTTGATTTGAAGCTTTCATGACTGCAGGAATCCATACTCTATGGTTCTTTCGGTAAAGTCACGTAGGTAGAATTAACATAAATGACGTTTCGAACGCAACACAAGCGTTCGTCTTCGGGTGAAAATTGCGATAGCTGAGATGTCTGCTGTGATTTATTTTAATAAACGCTTTCATTTAACTCACTGTCTGTTGTTGTTGTCATTGTTGTCGTTGTATCCTCAAATCTTGTAACTCAATTTTAACCCACTTCCCAATGTGATATCGACTGCAAACTTGGTATACTTACGCCATACTGATGATAATACTATATTCTATCATTAAATAAAAAAAATTTAAACAATCTTTTTTACATGTTATGTTTCGGCTTGGGTCTAATTGTCCACGGTAAACTGACGTTGGGTGTAATTGACCACGGTCGCTTGTGTTACGGCAAGCCTCAGGGCCACTTCCTGGAGTCGTGGAGTTCTTCCATTACAAGTACATTTCATAAAAGCGTGTTCTTAAAAGTTTTTTAAAATTTTACTTATTTTATTTCTACCTACGTGACTTTACCGAAAGAACCAAAGAGTATATATAAATACAGTCACACATGACTAACACGTCTATACGTATTAATATATTCATGATAGAGTTAAAAGTTTCCCAAATTCATCACACGGGCTGTTATGGCGCACTATGAGAGGGCAAATGGTCATAAACATTCCTGGAAGCCCTCGTATCTTCAAAATGAATGTTAACCCAAAACTCCAAGCACACAATTTTGGCTGTCTGGCTACAAAATGAATATTCATAAGAGCTAAATTCAGCTGACATAGCAAAGGGTGTTGAAAATAATACTACTTATGTTATGCATAAATTCATGTTCAATCGCAACTTAGAGGTGTGAAGCCAGGCTCAGGTTTCTTTGAATGCTGGGATGAACAGATCTAACGTCAGCTGTATGTGTGCTGTGTCAACTTCCTGACTGCTTCCATTCTCATAAAGAGTTCCAGATAAAAACAAAAAAACATAAACCATGCTTTTGATATAACCTCCGTGTTCAATAGAATTAATAGACTTTACTGCAAACACAAACTTGACACTGCTACACACTGCCGTGTTAAACAGGTGGTGGCGTGTCCAGAACCATGCCTGGCCCCACACCTTCATCTGCTCAGTATTAATGTTTCAGTTTCATTTATTAGGTACTAGCTTTACTACCTGGCTTCGTCCGAGACTTGGATTCTTGTCTTGAATGAATCCACGGCCAACGCGGAGGGTGGGAGATGTGTGACGTCAGCATGCACACTGCGTGAGACTGCCGCATGCGGGTGACATCACAGACGTGAGGTCACCGCTCACTTGCCATGCAAAATATATCCATTATTGCGCACACTCCCCAAAAAATGCAAAAGTAATTTTTTATACTTTTTGCATTGTGTACAGTCTGGAAGGTACCCACATGCCAAATTTCAAGTTTGTTGCATGTCAGAAAGTATGCTAAACATTTCGAACAGACACACATTCACAAATTTCCCTTGCCATAGGACAATTCAGATTAAAGTTGTCAGGCTAACTCTGTACTACAACAAGCAAACATGGCTAAACCAAAAGTTATCAATGCTTCCTCACTCCATCAAGTAATTGAGGATTAAATCAACATAACAGAGTTTGCGTGTCTCCCTCTCTCTCAGTGGTGGCGTGTATTTTCCTCCGGATGCCCCTCCACATTTAAGAGTGAACATCAGCACGCGTTTAGAGCCTTTGACCGATAGACATTTCCACACGTTGACAAAGCCCACCTTTAAATTTTGATTTAAAGCTTTCGTGACTGCAGGGATTCATATTCTTGGTTCTTTCGGTAAAGTCACATAAAAGGGAAATAACAAAATAATATAAATATAAAACAACAAATGCACTCACGAAAGCTTCAAATCATAAGAGCGGTAACAGCAGCACAAGTGGGCTCGGCCTGGTTACATAAAATAGAAACTTAAGTTGTCCTCGTGTTGTATTTCCTGCAGTCACGAAAGCTCCAAATCTCTCATTGCCATGCTCATTTCTCTCCCCGTATCTCTCTGCCCCCCTCTCTATTTAAGCCCTTAACACAGAGGTGTTGTTTCTGTGTGTGCCCTATGTGTGTGCCTACGTGTCTGTGTTATCTCTCCCTGTGTGCCTATGTGTCTCTCTCTGTGTGCCTGTGTCATCTCTCTCTGTGTCTCTCTGTGTGTCTGTCTCTCTGTGTGCCTATGTGTGTGTCTATCTCCATGTCTATATGTGTCTCTTTCTCTGTGTCTCTCTGTGTGCCTATGTGTCTCTCTGTCTCTGTGCTATCTCTCTCTGCTTGTGTGTATGTGTCTCCATGTCCGTGTTTAGTTCTCTCTCTAAAATTTAGCAATCTTTGGAAGAACGTTAATAAACCAGGTGGGGTGTTGACTGTTATGTGAGCCGACTCGCTGTGTTGTGTTGTATTGCATTGTAATTCTAAGTTTATTTTATTTTATACCTATGTAACTTTACCGAAAGAACCAAAGACTATTGTTCTAAGTTTACAATCTTTGCTTTCTCATTAATTTGTACCTGATGGTGATTGCTCGTGTTGCAAAGGAAACGTCGTATGCTATTATTTAATTAATGTGTTCTTTCTACGTGACTTTACCGAAAGAACCAAAGAGTATGGATCCCTGCACTCACGAAAGCTCCAGATCAAGTTTAACCGAGATAATTATTTGTTCTTTTCGGTAAGGTCACGTAGGTAAAAAAATTAATGAAACGAATAAATTATTAAATATTTTTTAGTATTAAAAAGTTTTAATTAAAAAAATTGTATTAAAAATTAAATATGAAAAAAAGAAACTAAATACATTGTTTTTTCATTCATGAAAAAAAGTTTGGATAAAAAAAATATGATATAACTAAAATAAATGAAAAAAAAACCACCACATTAAATCGGTTGTTTCTTCATTTATTGTATTTCTGCTGCCGTTACGAAAGCTTCCAGATCAAGTTGAAGCGAGAGAATTCAAACAAAGGCCTTCAGGCGAGGGCAGGAGGCGAGGCCCCGCGTGGCTAGGCCCCGCGTTGTAATGTCCCAACATGGACATGGATTCCCATACTCGCTGCGACTCAATTGACATCCCTACGAGAAAGAGAGAGGCTCTACCTTGGTAAACAACAACAACAACCACCACCACCACAACAACCACCACGATGAAAATCTCTCACCTCAGATTTCAACGGCAGCCTCTCGTTACCTCGCTACGTTATGGCGGCAGCAGGATGTGACGTGATATTCACTTCCGAGGTACAAGACACGCCCCCAACGAGCGGGGCTGGGTAACTGAATAACTTATTCGAGAATTGAAGCTTTCGTCAACTGCAGGAATGACTCAACTCGTTGTACACTCATTGGCTCTTTCGGTAAAGTCACGCGTCGAGGGATGATGGGGCGTGGGTGCTGAACCCGTCGCAATAAAAAACAAACTCGCGACGGCTTTTAACGAATATATTATGTAAATTGTATTTCATTTCTTTACCGAAATAACCAATGAGCAATTCCTGCAGTCACCAAAGCTTAGATCCTAGATTATGTTAATGAGCCGCCAGTCACTGGGCGTAGCTTTGCCCAAATAAGGATTGTACGGGTCAGACATCGACGGGGACCAAGCAGGGGTGACATGACGTCACTAGCGAGGCGCACCGCCCCCCCTGGCGTTTCACGCCGATGAGGTAATGCTTAGTGGTGACGTCAGAGAGAGGGGTCAGAGTTAAAGTTTTGCGTACAGAGGCCGTCCATAAATGACGTCACGCGATTTTGGACAATTTTTGATCCCCCTCCCCCCTCGTCACACAGCGTCACAAAAAGTCAGACCCCCCTCAAATATGACGTCACAAAGCTCTACCCCCCCCCCCCCTTCAAAAAAAACACGCTTCAAATCGCTTTAAACTATTGTCATTGTAGTGCGTATTTAATGTGGCGCTGCACTCTGTTGTTGTAGAAGAAAACATTTATTAAAAAGGAGACCAGGGGGGTGGGGGTTGAGAAATGTGACATCACATCAAAATGCGCAACTTTAAATACATATAGACAACACATTCTACATAATTAAATAGACTTTTTAATGTTTTCTCCTACATCAGAATGCAGCGCCACATTAAAAACGCACGACAATGACAATAGTTTAAAGCAATTTGAAGCGTGTTATATTTTATTTGGGGGGCAGAGCTGTGTGACGTCATATTTGAGGGGGTTTGACTTTTTGTGACGCCGTGTGACGCGGGTGGGGGGGTCAAAAATCGTCCAAAATCGCGTGACCTCATTTATGGACGGCCCCCATAACCAGTGGAGATGATTTTTTTAACCGGTCCTGAGCCGCCCCTACATCGACTCAGCCTCAAATGCGTACCCGGTGCGGTGTGCGAATATCGCCACCCGCTAACAGCACTTGCCCCAATAGTCTGTGAAGGCTATACCGGGGGGGATCTTTGTGTTTGTATGTACACACACACGTGGCCGATTACACAGATTAAAGGTCTCGACACACGTTGCCGTGAAAGTTCACAAATTCACGTGTCTGGTTTATTGTGTTTGGTTACAATTATTCAAAACTCGTAAATTACAGGGCGTTTCAGAAGGGTGGACCGCATCTGCTTTGAAATTGGGTGTTATGTCATTTCTGTACGATTCCAATCATTTTCGATTTAAAGTTTTCGTGACTGCAGGGATTCATCTTCTTGGTTCTTTCGGTAAAGTCACGTAAAAGGGAAATAATAAAACAATAAATAAATAAAACATACTAAAATAAAATTCTCACGTTTCGGCCAAAACGCAAGCAGGTCTGTCACCTGAGGACGGCTGCTTGCGTTGTGGCCGAAACGTCGTGAGAATTATTTTAAAAAGTTTTATTTTTATTATTTCCCTTCTACGTGACTACCGAAAGAACCAAGAAGATGATTCCAATCATTTTTACACGCTTCTATTTAACTCACTTCGTCTGTTGTATCCTCAAAAACGAAATCTTCTAACTCAAATTTTACACACTTCCCAATGTGCTATCGACTGCAAACTTGGTATAGCGATGTCATATTGATGACAACACGATATTATATCATACAAAATCCATAACATAGATTTTTTTTTACATTTAACACGCTTTTATTTAAATTTACTGTATGTGTTGTATCCAAAAATCTTGTAACTCAATTTCAACCGTATTCCCAATGTATCGAATGCAAAATTCGTATAGGTGTGTCATACTGATGACAATACCATATTTTATCATTAAAAATAAATAAATATTTTTTTACAATCTTTTTTACGGCTCTAATTGTCCACGCTCAACTGACGTTGCCTGTAAATCACCGCGGTCCCTTACGTCACGGCAAGCCTTGGGGAGCCACGCCCAGGGCCGGGGCATGTGGAAGAGGAGCGATGAGAGAAGGGGGCAGGGGCAGCTCGGACAGTACATTTCATTAAAGCGTGTTTTTAAAAAAAGTATTTTAAAATATTTAATTTTAACTGTCTGTTGTCGTTTTTGTCGTATTCTCAAATCTTGTAACTCAATTTTAACCAACTTCCCAATGTGGTATCGACTGCAAACTTGGTATACTTATGTCATACTGATGACAATACTATATTCTATCATTTAAAAAAATATATTTTTAAACATTCGTTTTTATGTTATGTTTCGGTCTAATTGTCCCCACAGTCAACTGACGTTGGCTATAATTGGCCACTGTCCCTTACGTTATGGCAAGCTTCGGGGCCATTTCCTGGAGTCGTGGAGTTCTGCCATTACTAGTACATTTCATAAAAGCACGTATGAAAAAGCAAGTGTTTTTCTTAATTATTTATTTATAGTCAAAATCGCCAAATTTGCGGAGCTTCGCTGCAAGTACAGGGAGAGACGAGAGGTGAGGCAGCGACACGCTCAGCCTCCCCTCAGACACTGGATGGACCGCGGGCAGTAAGGGCTTGCCTGTTACTATCTCAGCATGTCACCAATGGAATGTTTGTAGACCCCTTCATTGCATGTCCTCGCCTTCCATAGTCCAGGTAACTGAGTTCAAGTACAGTAGAACCTCTGGTCACGACCATAATTCGTTCCATAACTTTGGTCGCAACCCGATTTGGTCGTGACTCAAACCTAATTTCCCCATTGGATTGTATGTTAATACGATTAATCCATTCCAGACTCCTACGAACTGTATATAAAGTTTTTAAAATATTTTTAAGGACAAAAATAGTTAATTATGCCATAGAATTCATTGTAATAGTAAACTAAATGTAAAAACATTGCATAACACTGAGAAAACCTTGAAAAACAGAGAAAACTGACAAGGTTTAGAATTGTTCAACAAGATTACTGTTTCGTCTGCTACATCAGTCGGTCGATTCTGAGAGAGCATATTCATATGAGCAATTTATGTTTCTATTGAAAGTTAACAGTAATATTTGAGTACAGTATTGTTTTTGGAAGCATTCACCGTAATATCGTATGAACGTTTACTTCACCGCATCATCGTATTAATGCGAGAAGAGATTAACGGGTTCTTATGTTAGCGATTGACGTACTCAGCGCTTTCGCTCTCTAAACTATGGCTTGAATGAGGAAGGAGGGGTATGACTACACTTACAAAATGTATACATATCTTACTAGGAATTTTATATTACAAAAGATATATACATAACTGTTACGCTTTGTGTAATTCAACAACAAAAATGGCGCGGAAGGAGAAATCGGCCGCGGCCCTGTTTGATCTCCACCCGAGTATGTGTTCGTGACCAGATTAAATAAACTGTTGTAAATGTTTTGGTCGAAACCCAATTTGGTCGTGATCAGAAGCATTCGCGACCAGAGGTTCTACTGTATGTGCATAAAGATACGTAGGCTCGCTGGTCTCGTCATGAAACTGCAATGAAAAAGCACCAGGGGAGGCAGCTATCACATCTGCCTCACTGAGGGGGGTGGGCGTGTCAGACACACCGGTGAGGCCACGCCCCCAGTGCCTCCCCAGCCACTGACCTCACGCCATGTCACTGGCTCCCATCCATCGCATTCATTGTTAATTACCGAGGCTCACAGAGCAAGACTAAGGCTCCCATAGGCTTCAGTGTGAATCGCTGAGGCTCACAAGAGCCAGATGAAGGCTCCCATAGGGTTCAGTGGTAAACACCGAAGCTCCTGGTGAGATATCTACCCAACCAACAGATCCACCAAGACTGGCCGCTCTTACCCTGCAGGTTGAACCTAAGATTTCAATGTTCTACTTCACGTTATTTTCATTAAAGGCCTGTGACAAAGGTGCATCTATTGGAAGCGACATCGTCTCAAGCTTACACATCTACCGGGTCTCCATTTGACTTTATATTGTCTAGGAAGTCCACCCACACCTCCACTTCCACAAACTGCTGTGAGTTGCCTCGCTCTGCCTTACAGTCAGAATTCCCCTCTTGCTTCACGTTGCCTCCACCGATGTGAAGGTCCCATTCTGGAGTCGAATTTTCATCTTCACATTTTACCTTCACTTCTTCGCTCTTCAACGTCACCTCTTCACATTTCACAATCACCTCTTCAAATTCCGCCTTGATACCTTTTAAAGTGCCCAAACTGGGATTTTCTTCCGGTACTTGTTTCATGAGGGATGGGCTCCTTACGGCACTTTGACTTTCACAAGCTGATTTCAGACTCCACTCCTTGTGGATCTTCTGATGCTTCTGTGTTCTCTGGTGTTCTTGAAGATGTTGTGAACGTGCAAACGCCTTCCCGCACAGAGTGCACCTGAAGGGTTTCTCTCCTGTGTGTGTTCTCTGGTGTCTTGCAAGAACAGATGAGTATGAAAATGCCTTCCCACACACACTGCACTTGAAGGGTTTCTCTCCTGTGTGTGTTCTCCGGTGTGTTGCAAGATTTGAGGACTGTGAAAATGCCTTCCCACACACTCTGCACTTGAAGGGTTTCTCTCCTGTGTGTGTTCTCTGGTGTCTTGCAAGAACAGATGAGTATGAAAATGCCTTCCCACACACACTGCACTTGAAGGGTTTCTCTCCTGTGTGTGTTCTCCGGTGTGTTGCAAGATTTGAGGACTGTGAAAATGCCTTCCCACACACTCTGCACTTGAAGGGTTTCTCTCCTGTGTGTGTTCTCTGGTGTATTGCAAGATCAGATGACTGTGAAAATGCCTTGCCACACACACTGCACTTGAAGGGTTTCTCTCCTGTGTGTGTTCTCTGGTGTTTTGCAAGATCACTTGACTCTGAAAATGCCTTCCCACACACACTGCACTTGAAGGGTTTCTCTCCTGTGTGTGTTCTCTGGTGTTTTGCAAGATTTGAGGACTGTGAAAATGCCTTCCCACACACTCTGCACGTGAAGGGTTTCTCTCCTGTGTGTGTTCTCTGGTGTATTGCAAGATCAGATGACTGTGAAAATGCCTTCCCACACACACTGCACTTGAAGGGTTTCTCTCCTGTGTGTGTTCTCTGGTGTCTTGCAAGAACAGATGAGTATGAAAATGCCTTCCCACACACACTGCACTTGAAGGGTTTCACTCCTGTGTGTGTTCTCTGGTGTGTTGCAAGATGTTGTGACCGTAAAAATGCCTTCTCACACACACTGCACTTGAAGGGTTTATCTCCTGTGTGAGTTCTCTGGTGTCTTGCAAGATCATATGACTGTGAAAATGCCTTCCCACACAGAGTGCACTTGAAGGGTTTCTCTCCTGTGTGTGTTCTCTGGTGTATTGCAAGATGTTGTGACCGTAAAAATGCCTTCCCACACACACTGCACTTGAAGGGTTTCTCTCCTGTGTGTGTTCTCTGGTGTCGTGCAAGATTAGATGACTGTGAAAATGCCTTCCCACACACAATGCACTTGAAGGGTTTCTCTCCCGTGTGTTTTCTCTGGTGTCTTTGAAGAGTTGATGAATCTGCAAACGCCATCTCACACCGAGTGCACTTGAAGGGTTTTTCTCCCGTGTGTTTTTTCTGGTGCTGTGTCAAAATTTCAGTCCGATCCGTGCTGTATGCACGCTGGTCAGATTGTTGCCTTGCCGTACCGAGCCGCGCTGACTGCCTGTGCTCCATCAGACCAATTCTGCAGTGGAAGCGTCAGAGGAAGCGACAGCTGCAGACAGAAAATAGCATCTACACGTCAGTATCGAGGCACAGAGGAATGAATATACGCATATATAAGTACACAATCTTGATTTGAAGCTTTTATGACTGCAGGAATCCATACTCTATGGTTCTTTTGGTAAAGTCACGTAGGTAGAATTAACATAAATGACGTTTCGAACGCAACACAAGCGTTCGTCTTCGGGTGAAAATTGCGATAGCTGAGATGTCTGCTGTGATTTATTTTAATAAACGCTTTCATTTAACTCACTGTCTGTTGTTGTTGTCATTGTTGTTGTTGTATCCTCAAATCTTGTAACTCAATTTTAACCCACTTCCCAATGTGATATCGACTGCAAACTTGGTATACTTACGCCATACTGATGACAATACTATATTCTATCATTAAATAAAACAAATTTAAACAATCTTTTTTACATGTTATGTTTCGGCTTGGGTCTAATTGTCCACGGTAAACTGACGTTGGCTGTAATTGACCACGGTCGCTTGTGTTACGGCAAGCCTCAGAGCCACTTCCTGGAGTCGTGGAGTTCTTCCATTACAAGTACATTTCATAAAAGCGTGTTCTTAAAAGTTTTTTAAAATTTTACTTATTTTATTTCTACCTACGTGACTTTACCGAAAGAACCAAAGAGTATATATAAATACAGTCACACATGACTAACACGTCTATACGTATTAATATATTCATGATAGAGTTAAAAGTTTCCCAAATTCATCACACGGGCTGTTATGGCGCACTATGAGAGGGCAAATGGTCATAAACATTCCTGGAAGCCCTCGTATCTTCAAAATGAATGTTAACCCAAAACTCCAAGCACACAATTTTGGCTGTCTGGCTACAAAATGAATATTCATAAGAGCTAAATTCAGCTGACATAGCAAAGGGTGTTGAAAATAATACTACTTGTGTTATGCATAAATTCATGTTCAATCGCAACTTAGAGGTGTGAAGCCAGGCTCAGGTTTCTTTGAATGCTGGGATGAACAGATCTAACGTCAGCTGTATGTGTGCTGTGTCAACTTCCTGACTGCTTCCATTCTCATAAAGAGTTCCAGATAAAAACAAAAAACATAAACCATGCTTTTGATATAACCTCCGTGTTCAATAGAATTAATAGACTTTACTGCAAACACAAACTTGACACTGCTACACACTGCCGTGTTAAACAGGTGGTGTCGTGTCCAGAACCATGCCTGGCCCCACACCTTCATCTGCTCAGTATTAATGTTTCAGTTTCATTTATTAGGTACTAGCTTTACTATCTGGCTTCGTCCGAGACTTGGATTCTTGTCTTGAATGAATCCACGGCCAACGCGGAGGGTGGGAGATGCGTGACGTCAGCATGCACACTGCGTGACACTGCCGCATGCGGGTGACATCACAGATGTGAGGTCACCGCTCACTTGCCATGCAAAATATATCCATTATTGCGCACACTCCCCAAAAAATGCAAAAGTAAATTTTTATACTTTTTGCATTGTGTACAGTCTGGAAGGTACCCACATGCCAAATTTCAAGTTTGTTGCATGTCAGAAAGTATGCTAAACATTTCGAACAGACACACATTCACAAATTTCCCTTGCCATAGGACAATTCAGATTAAAGTTGTCAGGCTAACTCTGTACTACAACAAGCAAACATGGCTAAACCAAAAGTTTTCAATGCTTCCTCACTCCATCAAGTAATTGAGGATTAAATCAACATAACAGAGTTTGCGTGTCTCCCTCTCTCTCAGTGGTGACGTGGATTTTCCTCCGGATGCCCCTCCACATTTAAGAGTGAACATCAGCACGCGTTTAGAGCCTTTGACCGATAGTCATTTCCACACGTTGACAAAGCCCACCTTTAAATTTTGATTTAAAGCTTTCGTGACTGCAGGGATTCATATTCTTGGTTCTTTCGGTAAAGTCACATAAAAGGGAAATAACAAAATAATATCAATATAAAACAACAAATGCACTCACGAAAGCTTCAAATCATAAGAGCGGTAACAGCAGCACAAGTGGGCTCGGTGTTGTATCCTAACCCTTCTTCCAAAACTGAGATTAATCATATTTGATGAGATTTTTATATATTATCTTTTACTTGTTTTTTTTTAATGAATGAAACACACCAGAGCGCAGCAAACTGCAAAACACCAGGTGTTGTTAAGTAATGAACAGGAGGAGGGCTAGGATGGCAGAATTTGCAACCTTGCTTCAAGGCAAAGGCAATGAAAGAAAGTAGAGGCGCCTTTGTCTACATCACAACCACAGAAAGCCAGGAATCATCACTGATTGTGTGTTCAGGGATTCCGAGCTAGTTAGAACACGTGCACACTGAGGGAACAAAGAAGTGGGTCAGCTCAAGGCTGTGTGCACAGGGGGGGAGCTGATTTAAAAGAGTGTTGTATATCTCTCAAGGCGGGCAAGACCCAGCTGAATAACAAGTCTGCGGGGGTCACCAGAAGTTCGCATTCGCCTAGTTAAGACAAAAAGCTCAATTATTCTGTATTGCTATTAAAGTAACGTTAAAGTCGGAATTTAACAACAGGGTAGGCTAAAGTTATTGATATTCACACCCACTCCAATTAAACCAGGCCACAAGTTACGCCTACTAAACCATCACCATCATTAAGTCAATATGAAATGTTATTTCCATACTTTAATACTTTCTATACAACTCGACCCGAAGCATATGACAATCAGAACCTTCCTAAGTCAAAATTGAATCGCACCCAGACAGGAGCGAATATATCATATATAAGGTTGAAGAGGGAAGGAAATTAAGAGCACGGCGGCAGACAAAAACCAGAACTGACTCCAAGGTTCAACCGCCCTCCCCTACAAGGAGTGACGGAAATTAATGAGGCCTTGAGTTAACGGCCAGCTGGACGGCAACAACAACGGCGAGCAGAGATAGGGTGGGGCAAAGACTGCGGGGCTATGAAATGCAACTTCGTGTCAGTAAAGCTCTGACAAACAAGTTAAGTTAAAGACATCACAATACATAATATCGGACATAACATCAATGTTAACGCTATTCACCGTAAACTATATTCCGCTTATATAACCATGCAGACACCAAGGAATACGAATTCCTAGGATCAAGAAGCTTACCCCTTGACCTAAGATATCGGAAATAAGTTAATAATAATAAGCATATGCATGAAAAGACAAAGTAAAACTTATGAAAAGCCAGGATAACGGGATGAATCACCACCAGGTCGAATATAATACATAATAAAAAAACGATGTTAAACCCAGGGTCGGAGAGAAAGGGAGATCCCGGCCGTCTTTGTATCCCCGCAGAGCGGGATAGGAGTGTGTATACGCTCGGGGAAACACCTCCACTGGAGTCAAGCACCACGATGGGAAACGACAGACCTTAGGTTACATACAGAATCATAACTGTGAAATAGTAAGGGACAAATGTTAACTTAAAACTTTTTAACCATTTCTTTGTGCGCCGGGTCGGAGAGAGCGTTGCCCCTCCCTCCAGGTGATGCAACACGAACAAAGACCCCTATGAGACGATTTGTGATGTCTGTGTTTTGGGTTCATGAAGAAGGCCAAACAAGAGATAATATTGCACCCAGACAGAGAGACGACCTCGAGGCAATTTGTAACATCTGATTGTTTGCTCGTGGGTTTATGGAGGGAGTGTGACAACGGAATATACCGTGGGTGATGCACACAAGGACATACGGACGTACGGACACACACATGGACACACCTACCTACGGACAAATCCTGACACGGCAAAAATCGAAAGAAGCCCCGCCTTGTGGGCGGGATCCAGGGGGATTTTTCGGCATAAAGGAAGGATCCTGAGCATTGGAAACTAGTGCGACCAGCGGGTCCACTCAGGAGTGCGACCGGGAGAGTCGGCTCAGGAGGAGTGCGACCAGCGGGTCCACTCAGGAGTGCGACCAGCGGGTCCACTCAGGAGTGCGACCAGTGGGTCGACTCAGGAGTGCGACCGGGAGGGTCGACTCAGGAGCGAGGGCGACCAGCGGGTCGACCCAGGAGCGAGCTCGACCGGGAGGGTCGGCTCAGGAGCGAGCTGCGACCAGCGGGTCGGCTTGACTCATCTTCAGCTCGTCAACCTCTGCCGAGTCGGAGGTCTCTGCTGCCGCCGGAGTGGCGAGGGTCGCGGTTTGGCGACGACCCAGCGCTGCGCGCTGCGAGCGGGTTGTGGGCGCCACCTACCGACCGGGTTCTGAACTGCGACAGCGTATCAACAGCCATCCGAACCAGTTCACCACGGTGACAGGGGAGCGACTGATACGTATGACGCGCACCGCCCCCTCACCACACGACCACCAGGCGTCTGTTTGACATAAAGAATCGACTCCGAACACTGACTATTCAAGACAACTCTTACCACTCAAACACACTCGAACCCATAAGCCATCCGTGGCTGGGAAGGCATCACAACGAGACCGAGTGATGGCCATCCGTCGTTTATAAGAGTCTTCGTAATTTTTATCTTTAATATTTAGTGGGCTGTACTCTTAATCGCATAAATTCCCAACAGATCCATCAATACGAACTGATTCTTGGCACCTCCTTCCGCCGAGCCACGCTCACGTGGGGAGTGGTGGCCCACCGGATCCTTATCAGGTGATCTGGTCCCCAATTAGTAAACTTGGTATAAGATAACGATCTTCGGAAAAGGAGCACCGTCGCAGGCCCTTACTCCGAGCCGTTCTGTTGGCAGATAACCTGCCGATGTATCTGTTGAGATTGGTGCCTTTAAGAATAATAACTGTTTTGATTGTGTTTTTTTATCGCCGTATAATCTTTCAAGTATCTTTCAGTCATAATCGCCGCACGTACTCGCATCCTCTACAGAGTATTCAACTGTTCCGTGACCCAAGGTGTTAACAACGTGATAAGGGTTGCGTATGATCAATAAGGAGTGCGGTACTGCGTGAACAATATTGAGTATAATCATTCATTAACGTTAAGGTTTTCTTAGCATAGTATTTGCATATTTTAACGACTCTCTCTCTCACTAACAACCATCGCGTTATGCGGGATCCATGTGCCGTTGTCAAAGTGAAATCAGACAATCGTTGATGATACTGTATTGATGCCGTGTTGACGTTCCGGGATTGAGAGTTCGCATACTATATCATAGTTAAGGTTGAATTAGTAATAAATTGATCAATACAGAAGTGGTTGTGTGATTCTTTCCTGAAATCTATGCATAAGATCTGCTTCTGCGTTGAGATCTGAACTTGGTGACCTTAATAAACACACTAATACATACTCAGTAAATGTTAAAGCAATAACGGGGTGAACCGGGGACCTAAATACAACCACGAGTACACACTCTGGGAATGTTAAAGCGAGAATGAGACGAACCTAGACAACGATGCCGAGTTAATCTAAGTTAATCTTGCATACTTACACCACACCTGCATAACTGCATACGATTAATTGCCTTATTCCGATCGATAACCCACCCTCGTCACCAAGGCGGGGTCTGGTTATCATAACGACTTGCATTATCATAATTACACCCACTCGCATAATTAATACGATTACCTCTCGAATTGGCATAATTAAAATGTGCGTAATTACATAAATTAACATATTTCCGGATAATTACACATTTGGCCAAATTTCATTTAATTATTATTTTCACTGAATATTCATAACCCACATATACAACATAATAATTTCACCCACGCACGCATACACCATAACAAATTTCGATACCCAACATATACAACATCGGCCTGGTTACATAAAATAGAAACTTAAGTTGTCCTCGTGTTGTATTTCCTGCAGTCACGATAGCTCCAAATCTCTCATTGCCATGCTCATTTCTCTACACCCCCCCCCCCCCCGTATCTCTCTGCCCCCCTCTCTATTTAAGCCCTTAACACAGAGGTGTTGTTTCTGTGTGTGCCTATGTGTGTGCCTACGTGTCTGTGTTATCTCTCCCTGTGTGCCTATGTGTCTCTCTCTGTGTGCCTGTGTCATCTCTCTGTGTCTCTGTGTGTTTATGTGTGTCTGTCTCTCTGTGTGCCTATGTGTGCCTATGTGTGTGTCTATCTCCATGTCTATATGTGTCTCTTTCTCTGTGTCTCTCTGTGTGCCTATGTGTCTCTCTGTCTGTGTTATCTCTCTCTGCTTGTGTGTATGTGTCTCCATGTCTGTGTTTAGTTCTCTCTCTAAAATTTAGCAATCTTTGGAAGAACGTTAATAAACCAGGTGGGGTGTTGACTGTTATGTGAGCCGACTCGCTGTGTTGTGTTGTATTGCATTGTAGTTCTAAGTTTATTTTATTTTATACCTATGTAACTTTACCGAAAGAACCAAAGACTATTGTTCTAAGTTTACAATCTTTGCTTTCTCATTCATTTGTACCTGATGGTGATTGCTCGTGTTGCAAAGGAAACATCGTATGCTATTATTTAATTAATGTGTTCTTTCTACGTGACTTTACCGAAAGAACCAAAGAGTATGGATCCCTGCACTCACGAAAGCTCCAGATCAAGTTTAACCGAGATAATTATTTGTTCTTTTCGGTAAGGTCACGTAGGTAAAAAAATTAATGAAACGAATAAATTATGAAATATTTTTTAGTATTAAAAAGTTTTAATGAAAAAAATTGTATTAAAAATTAAATATGAAAAAAAAGAAACTAAATACATTTTGTTTTTTCATTTATGAAAAAAAGTTTGGATAAAAAAAATATGATATAACTAAAATAAATGAAAAAAAACCACCACATTAAATTGGTTGTTTCTTCATTTATTGTATTTCTGCTGCCGTCACGAAAGCTTCCAGATCAAGTTGAAGCGAGAGAATTCAAACAAAGGCCTTCAGGCGAGGGCAGGAGGCGAGGCCCCGCGTGGCTAGGCCCCGCGTTGTAATGTCCCAACATGGACATGGATTCCCATACTCGCTGCGACTCAATTGACATCCCTACGAGAAAGAGAGGCTCTACCTTGGTAAACAACAACAACCACCACCACCACAACCACCACGATGAAAATCTCTCACCTCGGATTTCATCGGCAGCTTCTCGTTACCTCGCTACGTTATGGCGGCAGCAGGATGTGACGTAATATTCACTTCCGGGGTACAAGACACGCCCCCAACGAGCGGTGCTGGGTAACTGAATAACTTATTCGAGAATTGAAGCTTTCGTCAACTGCAGGAATGACTCAACTCGTTGTACACTCATTGGCTCTTTCGGTAAAGTCACACGTCGAGGGATGATGGGGCGTGGGTGCTGAACCCGTCGCAATAAAAAAACAAACTCGCGACGGCTTTTAACGAATATATTATGTTAATTGTATTTCATTTCTTTACCGAAATAACCAATGAGCAATTCCTGCAGTCACCAAAGCTTAGATCCTAGATTATGTTAATGAGCCGCCAGTCACTGGGCGTAGCTTTGCCCAAATAAGGATTGTACGGGAACAGACATCGACGGTGACCAAGCAGGGGTGACATGACGTCACTAGCGAGGCGCACCGCCCCCCCCGTGGCGTTTCACGCCGATGAGGTAATGCTTAGTGGTGACGTCAGAGAGCGAGGTCAGAGTTCAAGTTTTGCGTCCAGAGGCCGTCCATAAATGACGTCACGCGATTTTGGACGATTTTTGATCCCCCTCCCCCCCTCGTCACACGGCGTCACAAAAAGTCAGACCCCCTTCAAATATGACGTCACAAAGCTCTACCCCCCCCCCCTTAAAAAAAATACACGCTTCAAATCGCTTTAAACTATTGTCATTGTAGTGCGTATTTAATGTGGCGCTGCACTCTGATGTTGTAGAAAACATTTATTAAAAAGGACACCAGGGGGGTGGGGGTTGAGAAATGTGACGTCACATCAAAATGCGCAACTTTAAATACATATAGACAACACGTTCTACTTAATTAAATAGACTTTTTAATAAATGTTTTCTCCTACAACATCAGAATGCAGCGCCACATTAAATACGCACGACAATGACAATAGTTTAAAGCAATTTGAAGCGTGTTATATTTTCAATATTTTCAACCTGTCCATCAAAGAAGCATCAGTTCCTCTAGAATGGAAACATTCCTATGTTCGTCCACTTCACAAAGGGGGCCCTAAAGATGATCCAAATAACTACCGA